GCCTGGGTGGAGGGAAGGGGCCCATCTCCCCACCCCTCCCCCGCGCCCATCCAGCCAAGCTCACCTGCAGACTGCCCCCACGCCTGCTCCTGGCTTGGGGGGGATCAGAGAGGTGGCCTGGGGGGGTGGGTTCCAGCCCCTCCACCTTCCCTCCCCTGAGCAACCACCTTGCTATTCAGGGGGGTTGAGGGAATTGAACCCCTGGCCTCCCCACTGAGGGGTGGCTGCACCTTCCTGGTCAAAGGCACCAGGGGGCAAGGTCCAGGCTGTGGGCTGGGAGGGCAGGGTCTGGGTCCAGGACCCACCCCAGGGGTGCACAACCCTCCTCATCCTGTAGATGACTCTCAGGTGAGCAGGGCAAGTTGAGAGAAGCAGGGGCAGGGGGTCTCCCAGTCCCCCTTGTGATGCAGGTGCCAGGGAGGCCATGAGGCCACAGACTGGGGCTCCCCACTGGGGGCTCACTCCAGCCTCTTGGAGGGCAGTCTGTGTCCATCCAAGAGCACAGGGTGCTGGGCTGGTTGTCAGGTCAGCGCTGAGATGTCCCTGAGGAGACGGTAACTCGGGGCTAGCCTTGGGCTTGCTGGCAGCCACTGAAAGCGGCTCTGGGTGGCTGGACCCTCCCGCCCCTTCTGTCTCCTGCCTGGGCCTGCCCCTCACTCCCTACCTGTGCTTTGAAGTAAGGTTCTCACGGCTCTGCTGGTGGCTGAAATACAACCTGGAGAGGGACTCATGCAAACCAGTGCTGTGGGGACAGCTGAACACTTGTGGTGAGGTGCCCGTGCTAGGAGGGACTGAGGGGGCTGGAAAGGCTTCCGTAAGGAAGTGGGGAGTGGGGCAGCTTGTGCAAAGGTCCTGCGGTGAGTAGCAGGTGCCAGGAGAGATGGAAGAAAGCAGGGTGCTGAGCACAGCCTGGCATGAGGCTGGAGGGCAGCCTGGGGGCCACTGGGCCTGCTCCTGAGCCACACGCCTGCCTGTCCTCAGCGAGCGGCCCCGTGGAGACTCGGGCTCACGCAGAGGAGCGGCTGCTGAAGAAGCTCTTCTCTGGCTACAACAAGTGGTCCCGGCCCGTGGCCAACATCTCGGACGTGGTCCTTGTCCACTTTGGCCTGTCCATCGCCCAGCTCATTGACGTGGTAGGTGCAAGGGTGGGAGCTCTGGGCCTGGGCTGTCACACATGGCCTTGGAGGTGGTGCCGGGCTGAGGAGCCAGCACGGCCCCGGGCCTGAGTCCAGCAAATGCACTTTTGTGGTGGGGTCTGGAGGAGAGGCAGATGCTGTGCACACCTGCCCCAGGCCTGGTCCTCCTCTGTCCCACATGGGGACACACAGTGCCAGGTGGTCAGCAGTGGACCAGGCTGCCAGCCTCAGAGGCCAAGGGCAGAAGATGTCTCTGTGGGGTGGGGCCGGTGCCAGGTCAAGTTGTGGGGCTTTTGTGTGAATTGTGCGCCTGATGGGGCAATACCTGTCCCCCAGCTGGTTCAAGGGCCCCCCATTACCTACAGGTCTGGAATGCGGGCTTTGGGGGAGTCTCGGATAGGTCTGAGGGGTGTTTATCTTCGTGGTTAGGGGCCACAGGGGTTCCTAGGAGGATCCAGTCTTCGAATGACTGCTGCTCTGGGCTTAGGGTCCATCCTGGGTGTGATCTGACTGGGTGATGGGCACACCACCTGGGTTGGGCTCTTGAGGGCCTTGGAGTGTGGGTCTGTCCAGCCTGGCAAGGAGGGGCCTCTGGGAGCCTGGTTTGTCCAGCTATAGGGGCTACAGATATTCCCAGATGCCCATCCCTGCCCCTGCCAGGACCTTAACATTGCGTCGGCTCAGGGAGGTGTGTGGGGGCCCTGGTGCCAGGCTGCCTACCTATCTTTTCCCTGTGAAATAGGGTGAGCACAGCATTGCCAACTTGGGTAATATTTGGGAGGCGGGAGAGGCCGTAGCCTACTCTGCCCATCACCCCTGGGGCAGAAAGGGCCAGCAGGGGCCCCGTCAGTGTGCCCTGTCCCCAGCCATGTCAGGCTTCTGCCCCCACCACCCTCTGTCCCCACCACCCTTCTGCCCCCCCTCCTGCCTCCACCACCCTCCTGCCCACCCCCCTTTCTTCCCTCACCACCCTTCTGCCCCCACCACCCTCTGCCCTCACCATCCAGGGCAGTTCAAAGTGGTGGCTGGTGGAGGTGGCCGCTGGCTGCCACTCAAGGTCCGGCTGCACCAAGGCCGGGCCTGCTGCCAGCTCCTTGGGGCTCCCCTCTCCCCATTTGTCCAGGAGAGTCCTAGGCCAGAGGGCGGGAGCACTGGCTCCGAGGCTCCAGGCCCGTGGCAGCTCCAGGCAGGGTGGGTCAGCTCCAGGCTCCGCTGGGCTCTGGGGCTGACTGAGGACACGCCTTCCGAGGTGCTGAGGAGCCGTCTTTGTGGAGGCCCTGGGCCAGGTGGGGGGTGCGAGGGCCTCCTCGCCCATCCCCTGGGGCTCATGCATTTGCTGCCAGCCTGTGTTGGCCGCAGTGCTCGCCTGTGTGAGCTCCGGCCTGCAGAGGAGCCCAAGGCACCGGGGCTGACGCTGCACACATGGGCTGGGCAGGCCGCTGGGAGGGAGGCAGGCTGTCCCCTGGAAGGGTCTGGAGCCTGGGGTGGGGGATGGGGCCTCCAGGGGCAGGCCGTCCACCCGGAGGGGAGGCAGGTGGGGCAGCCATGGCTTCCTGGCTCCTGAGGTCACATACTCCTCAGCACCCGTTTCTGGGGGGCGTCCCACTGGGTCAGCTGAGGGCCTGTCCCCGGCGGGCCTGCAGGAGAGCCGGACCGAGGGCCATGCCTGGGGACAGGACCTCTTCTCCCCAAACAGGGGCAGGGGCCTGTCCCCTGGAGGAGCAAGGCCCGCCCTAACCAGAGTCCGGTAGCGAGGCGCCCGGTGCACACCCAAGTGGATTTGGAGGCAGCAGGAGGGGCAGGTGCCTGCTCACCTGGGGCCCATATGCAGAGGGGCTGCCCAGCTGTGACAGAGCAATGCAGGTCGCCTTTGCTGCCCCCTTCCCCACACACCCACCCACAGCTGGGGAGGGCCAGCCCCAGCTGCCTATACAGTTGGCCAAACCTTGTCCTCACTTTGCTCTGGAAAGGTTGGGGGCCCTTGCCGCCATATCCCTAAGTGCCTTCTGGGCCTCCCCTCTGGGCGTGGCTACCTCCGCAGATGAGGTGCTCACTCTCCCATGTTCAGCCCTGGCCTGGCCTGTGGGGAAGAAGATTCGGGGCCAGAGAGCCATGGGCCTGCCACTGCAGGCACCGTGACTTCTTTCCTTGTTGCTGTCCTAGGACGAGAAGAACCAGATGATGACGACGAATGTGTGGGTGAAGCAGGTGAGTGGGAGGGGCGCCGCAGCCACCGCCCCAGCCCTGCCCGTCCCTCTCAGCTGAGCATTCTCCTGCCGTGCAGGAGTGGCGGGACTATAAGCTGCGCTGGGACCCCAGGGACTACGAGAACGTGACTTCCATCCGCATCCCCTCCGAGCTCATCTGGCGGCCAGATATCGTGCTCTACAACAAGTGAGCCTGGGGGGGGCGGGGGGGCTCCGTGGACAGGGTGGCAGCTCCACCGAGGCTGGTGAGCCAGAGGCGGCCGTGTCTGGATCTCACCCGGAGCAGCTAGGAGAGCGGGGCTGGGTGCGGCCTGGGCGCCTGGGGTGGCCACCTCCTGGCTCCACCTTGGCCTCTCTCCCCAGGAGCCGGGAAAAGGGCTGGCACTGCCCCCTGACTGCGGGCCCCGAGCTGCTCCCATGCAGCCTGGAGCATTTTCAGGCCTGTCCCCTGCCCCACGTGCTGCTCTTCGTTCCAGAAGCCTAGATGTGCGGGCTCCTCTAGAGCCTGCCCGGTCAGCTCTCGGGCCTGGTCCCCCCTTCATCTCCGCAGCCCTCACCGCAGGCCCCAGGCCCGCTCCTCACACTCCCGCGCGAACAGCCCAGCGAAGTCTGATGGGTGGACGGTGTTCTGTGCTGGAGCCAGGGTTTCCAGGCACAGCTGTGGCCGGCTCTGGGCTCAGACTTGTCTCTCCCGGGACCCTGACCAGGGTTCCTGCCCTCCTCCCAGGTCCCTGGCCTCTGCTGTCATCGCTGGATCCACGCCGGGGGCCAGGCTCTGGACATGCTCACAAAGAGAAGCACTTAGCCCCCCTCCCCATCGCCCCTTCCCCTGCCTGAACGCAGCCTCTGCCTCCCCAGAGCCCTGCACACAGCCCCTCCTGCCCCGGGCACTGGGCCTGACCTACAAAGGGTTGCTCTTTGGTTAAGAATGACTTCGCTCCTCTTCCGACATAACTGATTGCAGTGATGGCGGCATGTGAGCCGCCTGGGGGATGGTCTCAGGATGCATTGGGGGCGGGGGGTGCGGAGGGGAGCAGGCAGGCAAACTCTCTGCTCTCCGAAAGCCACTGGTCTGAACCGCGACCCTGAGTCCTCCAGCCACCCAGCCACCGGGGGTCCATGCTCAACACCCCAGCCCTCCACCCTCTCCTCCCCACCAGGACCCGTGGGAGGTAGCGGGCGGACAACAGCTTCTCTGTGGGGCTGTGGTCAGTGCCCAGACTCCGGACACGGCCTGGAGGGAGGGTGAGGAGCTGGTGGCTGATGCTGGCCGGGCCACAGCCACTGAGAGGCCTGTTTCCAGGGGCAGCGGTAGCTGCTGGCCAGACATGTGCACCTGAGCACGGCCGCGTGTCCAGGCTGAGCTGATAGGTGAGGAGAAGGGCGAGCAGGGCCCCGCTTTTCTGATGGCTTTGGGGCGCCCCTGGTTGGAAGTCAGGCACGTGAGGCTGTGCTGTCCACCTGAGGCTTTTCTACGTGGTCCCTTTGGGGCAGAGGGTGTCACAGTCCTGGGGCACCTCAGGGCCCGGAGCAGGAACCTGGACCCGCCGCAGCCCCACACAGCAAGCCCCGCCTAGAAGGGCTCCGGACTCACGGCCAACCCCGATGCCACACCCTGTGGGGATGGGAGGGACCAGAAACTGCCGGCCATGTTCGCCTCTGCCAGGCACAGAGGAGCCAACAGGGAGGGGCCCAGCCTTGCCGTGGGGGTCACAGCCTTGCTCCTCCTGCCCCACGGGGTGGCGGGCCCCACGTGCAGAGCGGGGCCTTGCCAGGCTGGGCTCACCTGCTGCTGAGACCAGCATGAGGCGGGTGGCACGGTCAGTGCGGGTTTCGTGGGGCCGAGGAGAGATTTCCTGTGAGCATTTCAAAGCCGAAAGCGGCAGGGCTGTCCGAGGGACTTGCGGAATGGCTGCTGCCTCCTCCTGTGTGGGGGCCACACCAGGTCAGAGTGGAGAGCCTGGGCCTAGTAGAGAAACTGAGGCTGAGAGAGTGGCATAGCCAGGTTACACCTGCCCGGGGCCTAAACTCGCGACCAGGTGTGTGCATGGCGGCGCCTTAGGGGCCAGGCGTCAGGGCCTCCTGTTCCTGGGTCTCACTCCTCTCTCCCTGCCCAGCGCGGACGGGGACTTCGCCATCACCCACCTGACTAAGGCCCACCTGTTCCACGACGGGCGGGTGCAGTGGACGCCGCCTGCCATCTACAAGAGCTCCTGCAGCATCGACGTCACCTCCTTCCCCTTCGACCAGCAGAACTGCACCATGAAGTTTGGGTCCTGGACCTACGACAAGGCCAAGGTCGACCTGGTGAGCATGCACAGCCACGTGGACCGGCTGGGCTTCTGGGAGAGCGGCGAGTGGGTTCTCGTGGACGCCGTGGGCACCTACAACACCAGGAAGTACGAGTGCTGCGCTGAGGTGTACCCTGACATCACCTACGCCTTCATCATCCGGCGCCTGCCGCTCTTCTACACCGTCAACCTCCTCATCCCCTGCCTGCTCCTCTCCTGCCTCACGGTGCTGGTCTTCTACCTGCCCTCCCAGTGCGGCGAGAAGGTCACGCTGTGTATCTCCGTGCTGCTGTCGCTCACCGTCTTCCTGCTGCTCATCACCGAGATAATCCCCTCCACCTCCCTGGTCATCCCACTCATCGGCGAGTACCTGCTGTTCACCATGATCTTCGTCACGCTCTCCATCATCATCACCGTCTTCGTGCTCAACGTGCACCACCGCTCCCCGCGCACCCACTCCATGCCCGCCTGGGTGCGCCGCGTTTTCCTGGACATCGTGCCGCGGCTGCTCTTCATGGAGCGGCCGCCCATGACCAAGGTCAACTGCGGGCGGCTCATCGAATCCATGCACAGGATGGCCAGTGCCCCTCGCTTCTGGCCGGAGCCTGAGGAGCCCAACTTCATGAGCAAAGTCCAGAGCCAGGGCCCCTCGCCCACCCCGGCCTTCTGTGCTCCCCTGGATGCGCCAGGCAAGCCCCAGCCGGCCTGCACGTTGCCCTCAGACCAGGTGCCCGCTCTGCGGCTAGCAGAGGCCAAGGAAGCCAGCCCCGGCCCGTCGCCCAGCCCCTGCCGCCCAACCACCAGCACCTGGGCCCCGGGGCTTGCCAAAGCCCGGTCTCTGAGCATCCAACACATGTCCAGCCCCAACAAAGCACCGGAGGGCGGCATCCGGTGCCGGTCTCAGAGCATCCAGTACTGCGTTCCTCAAGACGAGGCCGCCTCCCAGGCCAGCGCCCCTGTGGCCAGCTCCCCTCCCTCCTTGCAGGCTCCCTGGACTGAGCTCCCACCTGCAGACCAGGCCTCTCCCTGCAAATGCAAGTGCAAGGAGCTGTCCACAGGATCCTCAAACACAGCGTTCAAAGCCCTCAACACCAAAGCACCGCCCCGCCGCCCGCCCCTGCCGCCCGCCCTGACGCCCGCCCTGACGCGGGCTGCCGAGGGCATCCAGCACATTGCAGCCCACCTGAAGGCGGAAGACACCGACTTCTCGGTAAGGCCCTGCCCCAGTGCCCCGGGAGGTGCCCTGGCCCTTGTGGGACGAGCAGACACTGAAGGAGGGAGTGATTGGTGACAAAATCAGGAAACAGCCCTGGGCATGCAGCCGCCAAGCCCCCACCCTGGCCTGCCCCCTCCTCCCTGAGCCCTCAGACTGGCCAGGGCCCTGGGGTGGCGCTGGGCAGGTGGCCCAGAGTAGCTTGTGGAGCAGACCTTAGGGCCGAGGAGCCGACAGGAGGGGCCGCTAGGCCCTCTGTGGCTGGTCAGCTGCCCCGTGTCCGTCCGCAGTGTGCTCCCTGCGTCGCTGGCTCTGGGGAATGACATGACTTCACTAGTCGCCTGAGCGACCGCAGGCCTTGGTGGCTTTGGTCTGCGCTGGCCTTTCATCCTCAGGACGGGCAACAGCGGGCGAAAAGCAGGGAACAGCGTCCTCCAGCACAGCAGGGCCCCGGCGGGCTTGTTATTTATAAGTGACCCTGTTTGCGCTCAGGTTTCCTGTGAACAAACAGTCCGTTTAGGTTTGGTTTAAAACTGCCAGGATTACTTTAAAAATCAGAGCAGAAAATGGCAGTGAGGAGCCCATTTTTCCTCGACGCTCCCAGATGGGCACTGAGCCCTGCCCTCGCCCCGGCCTGTCGGACCCACTATGCCCTGACGCTGCTTCCTCCCAGTCCCTCCGGCGCCCGCAGGCCGCCCCCGGGACCGCTGTAAGGCAAAGGCCAAAGGTGGGTGAGGAGCCGGGACCTCAGAGCAGCCGGGCGGGGCTGGGGTCTGCCCCCTCCATGGCCGCTCTGTGCCTCGGTGCCCATCTACACAAGACAATCCCGCCTCCTTCCTCACCGGCCCCCGCGCAGGTGACGTGCTCGGCATGCTTGTGTGTTTGCGTCCATGGCCGCCCGCTGGCCTCAGCATTTGGGATTCCCCCTGAGCCCTGGCCCCTCCCTCCTCCTTCTGCTCACAGCACCTGGCTGTGCCCCGCCCCCTCGGGCTTAAGGGACAGAGCTGAGAGACTCCATTGATCCCTGAGGGGCCTCCGGCCCCCTGGGCAGCTGACCCCTGAGCGCCCGCCCAGGAGGAGAGGGCAGTGAGGCCTCAGCTGTCACTCAGACACTAGGCCCCTGGGGGCTCCTGTTAGAGGTCAGGCCTTGTCACCCAGGGTGGCTCCTGGCCCTTGTCCTGCGGCCAGGGGGTGCCAGTGGCCCTTTCTGAGCTCACTTGGTCCATTTGAAAAATGGGGGTGCACTGGATGGCCTCCATGGCACCCCTTCAGCTGGAGCAAACCTGGAGCAAATTCCATTGTGAAGCATCCTGGACCCTGGTGTTCTTCCAAAGATCCCCCCCCACCCCCCCGCCTCTGGGCTCAGGCACCCTGCCAGGCACAGCACCAGACCCGTCCCCCACGGCAGCCGGGATGTTCAGTTCGAGGGTGTTGCCCCCTCTGAACCCGACTTCAGGGGACATGTGGCTTCTCTGCACCCGCCCCACTCGGCCCCCCAGCAGGTGTGCCTGCGGCCCTGGTGGCCTCAGTGGCGAAGATGGAAACCGAACCCGTCAGGCAAAGCGCCGGGTTCGAGCTTCTTGCTGCCTGTGAGGTGCACGTCTGTGTTGCAGGTGAAGGAGGACTGGAAGTACGTGGCCATGGTCATCGACCGCATCTTCCTCTGGGTGTTCGTCATCGTCTGCCTGCTGGGGACGGCCGGCCTCTTCCTGCCACCCTGGTTGGCCGGCATGATCTAGGCACCCAAGCACTGTACGGATCACTTTAAAAATCAGAGCAGAAAATGTGCGGGGCCACGCCACCTGCCGGTTGTTCCCCACCTCCATCTGCTGCCTCCTGGGGAGGCGGGTGTGGCTCGGTGGCTGGGCCCTGCCCAGGAGGCAGCCCGCTGAGAAAGGCTTGTTCTCACCACGGGGCATCGCTGCCTGAGCCACACCGAAGTGCACCCCGAGCATGGCTGCTCTCTCCTCACAGGTCCCAGCCGTCCCCACGTCCTGGGGCCAAGCCCTCAGCCCCTCTCAGCCCCTGACCCTCCTCCCTGTGGGATCCCGAGGCCCCTGCCTGTCCATCCCCCAGCGTGGGGACACCACCCCTACCCTTGGTCCTCGGCCTGCTCTCTCTGACCCCACAGAGGCCAGTCACAACCATGCGAGTCTCACTTGCCAGGTGGGCCTAAGCAGGGGTTTTATTTTATTTTATTTTTAAAACATATTTTTATTGATTTCAGAGAGGAAGGTAGAGGGAGAGACAGAAACATCAATGATGAGAGAGAATCATTAACTGGCTGCCTCCTGCACGCCCCCCACTGGGGATGGAGCCTGCAACCTGGGCATGTGCCCTTGACCGGCCTTGACCGGAATTGAACCCCAGACCCTTTAGTCTGCAGGCCGACACTCTGTCCACTGAGCCAAACCGGCCAGGGCTTTTTGATTTGTTTTGATGAATTCGTGAAAACCTAAGTTTTGTGTCCAGGGGTCCTTGGGGAGTGGAGCTGTTAAACCTGGTCCCGCTTGGAAGAGACTGGGGGGCAGGACCCCATGAGGGAGGGACCTTTGGGCTTGGGGAGTTCAGATGATTGCCTTCCAAGGGTCCTGGGGGCTCCCGGGTAAGCTCTTTGCAGGTCATAGGTCCCCATGGGCACTGGGAGTTTGTGAGGACAGCTCGCCCAGGGCCTACTCCGGGGCCCTCGGGGTGTGGGCTGGGGTGGGGCCCTGAGGAGGCCGAGGGAACCTCCACAGGCTCCTGCCCTTGGACTTATCTGTGGGAGGCCGGTTCAGCCAAAGGGCCTCTCTCACCCACAATGCAGGGGCCCTCTGGCCAGAGGTGTGGGGGATGCCCCAGAGGGACGGTCCTGGGGGCCTAGGATCACCCCAGGGCAGAGTGCCAGGTGCCAGCCCCTGTCTCCCCAGCCCGGGCACCATGGCCCTGCGTGCTCTGATGATTTGGAATCCTCAATCTCCGAGTGGAGGCGGCGAGGACACCGTGTCCCCTCCCAGGGAGTGACATTGGGTGGAGGCAGGAGGAGGAAGCTGTTCCTGTTGTCCATGGTCAAAGTCCCTTCCGCGGGGCAGCCACGGGCATGGCAGCCACGGGCATGGCAGCCACGGGCAAGGTATCCGCCTGGCCAGTGCCTGGGTCACCAGGGACTTGGGAGAAGTGAGTGAACAATTCAGTGAAATTTGGAGTCTAGTGGGCCTCGTTGTGGCAAAGGTCAGACTCCCTGGTCACAGCCAGGCAGGAGCTGGAGGGGCTGCACCCCTCGCCCAGGCACTGAGACGGGACCTGACCTGGGCCCAGGGGTCCTCGTGCCCGAGAGGGTGCAGACCCCGGTGTTCTCTCCTCCCGGCCCCGGGGCCACAGGGGGCCTGCTGCCCAGCTCTGCTCTGCACCTGCTTCCTGGGGGCGTTGGCATCAGTCCCAGGCACTGGGGCCGCTCACCCAGGACACGCGAGGCTGAGCGGGGACACCAGCCCGGGGCGTCAGGGAGGTGGATTTCAGATGTAAGCACCTCAGTCCTTACATAAGCAGATTCGGCCACCAGGTGCGCAGGCATCTGCCAGGAGCAGCCCTGGCGCCGGGCCCACTGAGATGTTTTTCTGGGTCACCAGGGAGACCTCGCACGAAGCTTCCGGAACTGGAAAAAAGTGTCAGGAAATGCACAGAAATAACCAAGTGGTCATATTCCCACCACAGCAAAGTAACCAGCCTCGGTCTGCCTCCAGTGTGGTTTCTTCAATGTAAATTTAATAGGGAAAACCGCATGATCTAACTGCTCGAGTGAGTGAGTTTTACTAAAATTTGACACCAAGGACCTAGGGCACCATTCCACACAAGACGCCACCCTCCCCCTGCCCCTCAGGCAATCCCCTCCTGGCCCCAGCCTGGGCTTCTCCATCAGCCGGCTCCTGCTCCTGAACTTGGGGTCGGGGCCTCCATTGCTGCCTCCCTCCTAGTGTGTTGAGACTCACGGGTCCTGTCTCGTCCTCGGACAGTCCTGTTTCAACTGTGCGCAGAGCTCTTCGCCTGAGTCAACAGAGCTCGCTGTCTCTCGTCCCCCTTGAAGAACGTCTCCGGGTTTCGCCGTCAGGACTCGCGCGCTGTGACACGCTGTGAGGTCTTCGTGGATGTCCTCGTGCCTCATGTCCTTATGTCCAGGGCCCTGCCCCCACCCCTCCTCTCACTCACACACCGGGCCAGTGTTTCCCCTCCTAGGTCGCCGGGGCCCAGACAAGGAGGGGCTGCCCAGGGCCGGGGGCCCGCGGGGATGTCCGCTCGTCACTCCTGAGCCTGCCCTGCCTGGCCCTCCCTCGCCCCCTCTGTCTCCCGACCAAGGTCCGTGCTCCCCACAGTGTGACATGCCCCTTCTCTCTGGAAATTAAGTAATGGATTCTCTTCTCAACGGCATTGGCCCCTTCAGGACACCCCAGTCACCTCTGTAAGTCATGGCCCTGGCCCGTGTTGCTCAGTTGTTAGAGCGCTGACCGCGCACCCAGGTCAGCAGGTTTGATTCTGGTCAAGGGCGTGCACCTCGGTTGCAGGTTCAATCCTTGGCCTGTTGGGTGCGTGTGGGAGGCAACCAGTTGATGTGTTTCCTCACGTCCATGTTTGTCTTTCTCCCCTCCCTCCTTCCACTCTCTCTAAAATCAGTGGAAGAAGAAGAAGCCATGATGGGGCCGAGCACGCCCGGGTCACACCTGTGTGGGGCCACTAGGTCACGGGGTGCCGAGCCTTCCCAAGCGGACACCCACTCCCCCCAGAAGCTCTGCAGTTGGTGTCGGCTGGACGTTTGCTCATTATTGGGTCACGTGGCTTTTAGAGGGTGTCGTCACCTGTGTGCTCGGGCCAAGGCTTTTGTCCGTCCTCCTGCGGGAGACTGCCTCCCTGTGCGTGATGGTACTTTTCACCAACCCCATCTTTCCAGGAAAAGCTTTTCGTGCTGATGAGGGCCATGTCTGAGTTTTCTCTCTGTGGCTGCTGCTTTATGGATCCTGTGTGAGGGATCCTTGCCGCCCTGCGCTTAGGAATGCGCCCCGCCCCTGCCTTCTGTCATCTAGAATGCTTACAGTTTACTCGTCTTTAGGGTTACCATGTTTTTCTTCTTTTGTTAATCCTCACCCCGTTGATTTTTTTTTTTTAGAGAGAAAGTGGAAAGGACGGGGGGAGAAGAGAGAGCAATGATGTGAGAGAGACACATCCATTGGTTGCTTTCCACATGCACCCCGACTGGGGCCAGGGATCAAACCTGCCCTTGGCCGGGAATCGAACCTGAGGCCCTTTGGCTTGCAGGCTGATGCGCTAACCACTGAGCACGCTAGCCAGGGCTACCATGTTTTTCTAATTAACTTTTGTGCCTGATGTAGACAAGGGCAGAGCATCAATGTTTCTGATTCGAACCTCTAGCAGTTTCGAACCATTTGTTGAAAACAAGGTCTTTCCCCAGTAAGATGCCTGGCAATGTGGCCCCTGATCTCCTGCTTCCTGGTTCCTCGCGTGTTGGTTCCTCTGGCCGCGGGAGCAGGAAGTGTGTCCTGTCTCTGACGCAGGCAGAGCTCACCTCCCGGGTCAGATGTGCCCTGACCTCTGTGAGGAGCAGCTTGCCCCTGCCTGGTCCACAGCCCCTCGCCCCTGCCTGGCCCACAGCC